CGACAAAGAGAGAGATAGTCTCATCATCTGCGATCATTGGAATAGAAGAGTGGTTCGATGGCCTCGTCGAAATGGGACAAGTGGAGAAACGATCATCTCTAACATCGATTGTTGGAGTTTGACAATGGACGAGAATGGATCTCTATATGTCATTGACAATGGAAAAGCTGAAGTGAGATGATATCGAAGAGGAGAATCTCAAGGAACAGTGGTTGCAGGTGGCAATGGAAGTGGAAATCGTCTCGATCAACTCTCTGACCCACAATACGTATTCATCGATCGAGATCATTCAGTGTACGTGTCTGAATGGGGAAATCATCGTGTGATGAAATGGGTGGAAGGTTCAAAACAAGGCATTGTCGTGGCTGGTGGTCAAGGAGAAGGAAATGGTCCTACACAATTGTATCCTCCTGGAGGAATCGTTGTCGATCAATTGGGCACTGTCTATGTGGCTGATGATGAGAATGATCGAATCATGCGTTGGCCCAAAGGAGCCACACAGGGAAGTGTCATTGTTGGTAGAAACGGTAGAGGACGACTATCAAATCAACTCAATCAGCCCGACGGTTTGTTATTCGATCGACACGGCAATCTCTATGTCGTCGACTAGGGACATTATTCAGTCGAAAAATTCGAACTCCAATCAAACAAATAACAAACGAACACTCGAGAATAAATCTAATTTTTGCTTGCCTTATTTACTAATTAACTTAATAATTAATTAATTGTTTGCTTGTGATTACGTGGAATTGATTAATACAAAAAAAGAAACAGAATTGTAAACCTACCTACACTGGCATAAGAACGTTTGTGAAACGAATAAATAGAAATGGACAAGCAGGGTGGACACCTGGGTGACTTCACTCAAAAAGACAACATAGAAATCTCTCGGATAATTTCAAGACTTTCAATGGATCAAGTAAACGGAAGCTGCATGATCCTAGAAATTCAGAAATCTCTTATAGGTTCCCATAAAATAGAGATTTACGAACAATGATTCCCATGTTTCGAACATTTGCTATAACCTTTTGCTTTCTTTTAGTTCACTTATCATTTCCTTATCACCGAGACAACAACGAGATGGAATAAAAATAGAAGGACAAGATACAGTCGCATGTATTATAGAAAAGAATCACGGATTTCCTCCTTCCCGACAGGTCGGATTACACACAGGACTACGAAAAGGTATCTTCTCTCACTCTTACGAATCGGTGGCAACACTACGATCGTCACATTGGTCTTTAGAATAACTAACACATGCTCGATTCAATGATATTCCTAACATTTCAATATATCAGACAGAGAGAAGCGTTGAAATCGTCTATATCCTTAAATCCTTATCACTTCACATAGGGGACGAATTCCCAAACGAGGACTCAAAGGGTTCGAAGGCGTCGAACCATGTGCTCTTTGAATAATGAAGCGAATGGTGGATTTTATTATATTCCAGCGATTCCAATAGATCACACAAACGGAAGCTATTGAATCTTGGAAGTGCTCAAATTCCTCTTGTGCTCACACAGTGCAGCCATTCCCAGTTAACGATCCCAAGGTTTCCAGAAGTTGAATTCATATCGGCTCCTTGAATAATCATGGAGATGATGGATGCCATCGTAGTCCTTGGATTCCAGTACATGTTACAATGGAATCCTTGGAATCCTATGAATGTGGGTATCTATCATAGGTTGGAACAGCGCAACAATTGTTAAACAACCATTCGAAGGTTTCCGATAGGAAATCCAAGTCTCCTTTCTCAATAATGAAGCATATGGCGATTTCTCTAATATTTGGATTTTGTTAGATCAAATGTAGGGATGTATGGGAGTCTTAGGAATTTTGAAATTCCTTAGATGTTCAGACAGCGAAGGAACAGTCAAAGGTCGATAGCAAAGTTTGCATGTCTTGGGTCTATTTCAGCTCTTTGAATATGTTAGCGTCAGTAATGATAGACTCTGGCGCTAAACGAAGATTAAGATGTTTCTCCTAGTCTAACTGACTTAGAACATGTGCCCGGAGAGCAGAAGGTGTTCGTTCAAGTCACGCGAAGGTAATCTTTTCCTTCGTTCTGTTACATAACATCAGTGATACTGCTTGCTCTTTCGTTCTATACGCATTGAACGTAACAGAAAAGTGAAAGAGATGGTGGATTTTATGAAATTCCGGAGGTTTGAATAGATCAGAAAAGGAAACCCTTGAATTTTCAGGAATGCCCAGATCCCTATATGTTCACATAGCGCAGGAATCCCCAGACAACGTTCTAGAATATACTAAGGATTCTAATACATCCGGTAAAGGGTAGCCTGTGCATCCAATGAATCCAGAAATGGCTTATCGGTTCTCATAGAAGAGGAATGTCCAATGTAAGATTCGTAGGCTACGAAGCGCTGAGGCGATATGTGGTCTGCTGAATGATGGAGGCTATGACGAATATTTAGTAACAGATTTTAGCTAGTCCTTGAGATCAGACGGAGACAAAACTTTAAATTCCATTACTCCAGAATCTCTTTATGTGTCCTGTAGGATACGAATGGAAAAATACATATTCCGAAGTTAGCAAGACTTTAGACGATTTATTACGTGAATACTAATAAAGACCATGACGCGTTATGTTGGATTTCAAGAATTCGAAAAGGTCAGACTGTGAACCGTGGGAATCTTACGGACCGCAAAATCGTTCGAATGGTCGTATAGGATGTGGTTTGCCAAAGAAAGAATTTAATGATTTGAAAAGTTAAACAAATCTGTGGTGTTGAGAATAAAGTTTATCATGGTGGTTTCTTTATGATCGTAGCTACTACAAGGAACAAGCGGGGAATGGCGGATTTCGGATTCCCTGGATTTCCTGGATTTTCATGGGATTTACGGAACATTTATAATAATAATTTGCATTCCCGAAATTCATATTGGATCTCTAGGATCTTAATTATAGTTCTAAAAGTCTCGTAGAAGTCAGAGTTAGGATTTCATTGCTCTATAAATTAGTTTAAAAAGCTGTATTAAGCTATTGTGGCAAAATATTGTTTATCTTGAAAGTTCTAGACATTTAACTTTATGAGATAAGTATAAAGTCGATTTTTAAAATAGAGCTGGTTGCTTTCATATATTTCTCGCAAAATGCATCAGGCAGAATAACAAAGAGCAACCAGGCATTAGACAAATCAATGCAAGTGTGAAACGGTGGATTTCAGATTTCGAAATTTCAAGGATTTTCATTGGATCTCAAGGATTCTCATAGGATTTCATGGATTCCCGGGATTCCCATTGGATTTCATGGATTCTCGGGGTTCCCATTGGATTTCTCAAGAGTGTCAGTGGATTTTCAGAAGTTGCATTGCGTTTAGACACTTCCCATGTAACTAGTACCGTTCTAGTTGTAAATCAGGGAACCTCACGGAACTTGAAAAGTAATCATTATATCAATGAGTAAGTAAGGGGAAGTTCAGATATAAAAAAAAATCTATTGCCATCAAAAACCTAGATATGTCACCTATCGAGATGGATATCAAGACTCCTGGAGCAATAGAGCAGTTTAATCTTCTTAGTTTTTATTGAAAAAAAACACAAAACAAGAAAAGAAAAATATCAACAACAAGAATGTGTAACACAATGTACAGAAAAAGATGCCATTTTGAATAATCAATATATTTGCCTATGTGGCTTTTGTACTCAGCGATTCGACTGTTGAACACGTTGTAGTCGATCAGAGGATTGCATGTCATTCTGATCTGTTAAAAGCCAGCAAGCTGTTTGCTTATGTATATATTTCTTTTTACCATCGATTTCGACGCAAAAATAGGAGTTCGAAAGTGAAGAAGGAATCGTATCAACCACTCTCATGCCACGAAATTGAGATTTATCGCTTGTTGAAAGAGAAGGTATGTCGTCCGTTTCATCTTCAGAACAAGTAGATTCCTCTGATTCCAATAAAAGATTAGCACCATATTTTCAGTTGTAAGTTGACTCCTCCTCCTCATCATCGTCATCAGATGGATGGTTATTACTACCATCAGAATAGATTATTTTCAATTTTTTTCGAATCAAGCTCGTACAAGTGAGCTAATTTCTTTCATTGTAGTTTTTTTCATATCTTCCAAAGCAATATTCATATCTAGTTCAGAAAGCAGATTATAGACATCATCGAAAGCTCGATCAATAGCTCTTTAATATTATCGTATTTAAGAAGAATACTGGATATATTTAATCGTAAGTTTTTGGCAGCAGAGTAGTTTCGTCTTCGTTTCTAATGCTTCAGATACTGTAATGGACATTGTAGTTGACCAGATTCACTTTTATTTTCGAGATCGGTTAGCACAGAGAGCTTACTAACTCGTTTAAGAAATTATTGAGTAGTAAAATTTACTACTGAAGAAAATGTACCTGACATTGATCTAGTAAGTCGAAAAGTACCCTCACATGACTGTGAATGATCGTTTGATATTGACAGAGCAGATTCAGGTAAGTCATGCTGACTTACGAGAAGGCAAATGACAAGCAAACTATGAGCATTAAGTTCGATGGAAAAATGTGCAGGAGTATCGATAAATAAGTCTTTTTTTTTTCTATTTTGAAATGATATTTTGAAATATCCTCCTCATCAACTACATGTAGCCAAGTTTGCCATATACGACATAAAAATACTGCTAACCAAGTATGATATATGCGATCAATAATCGGCGTATCATGCTCTACGTAGGCTAATACGATGTTGCGCAACAAGCGCAAATAAACTCATGTATCTTGAGAACCATCAATATCTTCAAGAGCAATGATTATAGCATCACTTGATAGCTTGACAC